CAAATTCAACGAAGCCATCAACAAGTTTGAACCGTTTATTATATAGTACCAGTAACTCAGATATAGAGCGGTATCCGGTTTACACAGTGAAATAGAAGTTATTAGAGAATATCTCAGTTCGGATTAGAACAACGCACAAAAATCACTAAAGAGTCATCTCATTTTTTTTTTTATACTGCCAATCTTATTATTTTATTTTCGCTATTGTCATTAATAGCACGGTGCCAACATACGTAATATACATCAGTGTAAACTACGTGTGGCTTTCTATGTGTGAATTGAAATATCAAGCTTCAAAATGCATTTACCTCAGTCAAATGTAATAGAAAATGGTTTAAAGGTAATCTTCAAAGTCAAAGTTGTATTTTGGTAGCTGACGTAAGCCGGCACCTTTCGTACGATGAGCGCAAATGTCTCTACCGCAAGAACTATCTGGACTGGGTGACATGAGCTAGAGTCCTACCAGGTCTTATCATTACTAACCAGGATAGAAAGCGTATCTACCCTAGCAAACCTCAGCCATGGAGGATTCCTTGTGTCCTTGAAGGACCCCACATTATATCCTTGATCCTAATGCGGAGAAAATCAGACGTTTTGTTACCTTCAGCCGTGTGACACGCTAGCTACATTAAGGTGTGATCGATAGATACAAACTTTTTTCTGTAGACCAAAGCGGTCGTTCCACATGAATGAACCCAAATCATCCTCGTTATTTATAATCGTAAATACATGTCGAGAACAGCTTTAGCACAACTGGGATAATCATAAGAACGTGTCTCATAGAGTTTCATCTTGTGGGTCAACGAGATAGTCTTCGTTTTTCATGGCTCATCTGTCGTGGTATACGTTTTACTTCATGTTCAACACATGTCCATATGTTAAACCGTATATATTTGTATTAGCGTATGTGACCTGTTGTCGGGTTACTCAGTAAAGAAATTTGCGGGATTAAAAAGGTGACGCGCGTCTGTTGCTATATTACTACATACATAGGATAGTAATGTGTCGCTTTTCGGCTTGTGCAGAGTCGGGACTGAGTGGATGAGAAGTTGGCATGATCATGATTTTCTCAAACTCCTGCTGCTGCTGCTGCTGCTGCTGCTGCTGCTGCTGCTGCTGCTGCTGCTTCTTCCACAACGACAACTTCTACTACTATAGTCAGCCTATCAACAGCACACAAAGACTGCTGCCGTTGGACCTGATGGACCAGGATTCAATCGAGCGACGACGTGAGAAGTTTTGTGTTGTCTCCGTCGTGATCTGTCTTGTCCACCGGCCCTCGTTCTGTCATAAAGGGCCACTTGTGCCCGTCGCCGATAGCATAGATTATGTTTCTATATGGAGGAAGTAGACGGTAGTCAGATATGCAGGTAAATGATCGAAGCCGTATCCCGCCAACACACGCTGTCACTGCTGTGTCGTCTTCCGTGTCCTCTAGGCCATATCGACAGACCGCAACATCGTCGTCGTCTCTCGAGCGTAGCTGCCACACCAGCAATAACAGCATCCTATTGAGTAATCGGCTCCGCTGCCCCCAATACCTGTAGCGGAATGGCCTTAGAGCTAGTCATGTTTGACATTGCCTCGTTGTGAACATCGTGCGTCGCGCAAAGAAGCCGCGTCATCCAATGCTGCTTTCTTAGGCGTAGACTTAGATCGCTGATCTAACTTCTAGGTTCTCCCAAACTCGAACGCTACGCAATGCACACATCTACTATTGTTCTCGGTCCGACAATCCCCATATTGATTTCTCCAAAGGAATTCCCATTTTATCGCGTTATATTGATATCTTGGGCATTGTTATCGTTGAGCAACCCTTAGGTAACATGATCTGGCATTTAACCTTACATAATCCATAAGGGGTTCTCCTATCAAAAGCAGCATAATAAAACTACATAATACACATTGCAGTATTCTTTACATGGAAGAACATTCGATGGGTGGATAAAGCAAAATAACAGTTAGAAAGACTGGAAAAAGGCCGCGTGTCCGGGCAACAAAGTCAACGAAAGTAAGGCTGTACGAAAGGTGTTACTGTTACGATGGGGGTTGCCGTATTTGGGCTACGTAGAAGGTGTCGGTACGCGAGAATTCAACAGCTTCTGGCGTTTGCGGCGAGTTGTTGTTGTTGTTATGCTACCGCGTTACCCTCATGAAACATTGACTGTGCTGCTGTTGTTGCTCTCGAGTAGCTCATAAGCGTTGTGCCGCGCGAAAATGCGTGTCTGTCATGAACAGCGGCGTCAGGAGTCGACAGATGCTGAGCCAGTTTATTGAGCCGGCATCTTGAACAGGAATGACATTGGTCATCGTCGCTATTGTCGTCCAAAGAATAGGAAATGATGGAAATCGAAATAAAAAAAACAGAGCAAGGAAGAAGAAATGATAAAGGTATGAAGAAAAATCGGTTGGTCTGGGCGGCTCATTCCGGTGACATTCCGGTGAATTCTGTCGTGTTCTAAGAATAAGCCGCTGTCTAAAAGGACCATCGCAGAAGGACACCCTGTTTTGGTGTTGTAGCTTCTGCTCAAGAGTGTGCGTTTTGCTCAATAGTGTAGCTGCTACTACTAGTATCAGCATCGTTTCAATAGTAGCCGGACTACATACATCAGCTACTACTACTACTACTACTACTACTACTTCTACGATGATCGCTCTCACCCTCCTATACCAGCAGCTGCTGCTGCTCGCTTTCGATGTTGGCATTACTATTATTCCGACCATCGTCGTGTCACTTCGTCGTATGATGACTCTTCAATGGTTGTTGCTGCTGCTGCTGTTGCTGCTGCTGCTCGGCTGACGGCACTCGCGCAGCAGCATCTCGCGTGTTGTCAAAGATGCAGTCACGGGAGAAGCCGGCCAACGCCGCCAGTTTGCTAGCCAATGGGCCATTGGTGGTACGGCCCTCCTCAGCTGTTGTCGTTGTTGCTGCGCTACCGTTGCCGCCGTGGATAGTGAGTGTGGCGGCAAATTTCGACCATCGGTTCCGATTTGAGATGGCTTTACTTGAAGTGCTTCAATTTGAATTGAAGAAGGGAAGTAGCCTCTTTTTCTCTCGCGTTGCCTTACTACTCAGTTCGACCAAAGGCACTTGGCGTCAGCACTGTCCGGAGCGGCTACGTGCTCGGTATTTCGGGGTGAGCGGATGCTGGCTTCTGCCACAGCCACCAATGCCACTGATCACGGCACCGAAAACGCCGATAGCGATCAAAAAGAAATTGCTATTGAAAGTTGTCCGCCTTGACTTGTTGTGTTGAGGGCCCACAATGCACTCGTGACAGGAACCGCCGGACACTCGGACAATCGTATTGACAACACGAACGGATACAACAGGGTCCAGCACTATTCACGACCCTTCTCTCTCTCTCTCTCTCTCTCTCTCTCTCTCTCTCTCTCTCTCAGACATTTTTTCTCTTGCGTCGTCTCTTAACGAAGGGACCGATGGACTTTGCACACTTGAACCCTTCGATGTATTCGAATTGCTTTTAAGTCTTAGATGTGTGTCGTCGTCGTCGTCGTCGTCGTCGTCGTCGCCACGTAATGGCTGCTATGGCCAGATGAGATGAGACAGCTCCCGAGATCCTCAGAGCATTCGACATCGAGCATCGGCCGACATCAACGGACATCAATAAAAATTACCAAAGCATAAGGCATTGCCACAGGGCACCACAAAACTCCACGGAGCGGCATAGCACCATTTCCATTATATCGTAAGAAAGAACTACAGTCAAGCACCCACTTCGGGTACTACACAAACAGATACCACAACGTGCCATAAGCACCGGCTGCAGGAGCAGCAGTGAGATGCTGAATTTTGTTAAATGGACTGACTCTGTTTTCCGTGCTTTGTCTCATCGCTTGTTTGTTCGACTAGTCGCCGTTAGCCAGTTCAACATATAAATAGATCACTGCTATTAACAGTTACCAACGCTCTCTATCCCTCGATTTTATCCCATAGCGCGCAACAACTGGACGAAGTGGTGTAGCCGCCGCTTCTATTTCGGCCCTGTTACTCATGGTGCTGCCGGTGGTAGTTGCAGTTCTGATGATTTTTGTCTGTCTTTCAGGCAGCCTGATATCTATCTCGCCGCTTTATAGACGCTCATCGCCGCTGCTGGGATGGCAGGTTTTCTCGATTCAGAGAATATAGCTCAGCATGCTTATTTTGTAATGCCGTAGTGGATAGCCATAGGCCTATTATAGCCGCACTGCTGCAGCTCTATGAGCCCGGCTATGGGTAGATATACATGGGCTGAGAAAACGATGACATTGTTTACATTTCCACGACCACTGAATATTATTGTTGTCAGCTGCTATGCACATGGGCGCTCCGTGAACTGCTGTGGCCACCGTCGTTACTGCCGCTTGTTCATTGCGTGCATTGGCCGGCCGCGTGCAGTCACTATGTGTGCGAGGTGCGTGAGAGTAGGACCCTATTCTGGACGGCGATAGATAGCGTCCGTCGTTGTCGTATCATCTATACAGACGTAGACACACATACAAACATACACAATGCTATTAGCACTGTCATCAATGAAGCCTCCAACGCGAGCCAATAAAAAGGGTGAAATATCGGCATGGCGATACCCACGAGAGCGGACGATCTCATCGTGCTGAAATAGGCAGCGTTTATTTGTGATTCGTTACGCCTGCTGGCCGGCTGGCTGGCTGGCTGGCCGGCTGGCTGCCGGAGAACAAGCGCAAAAGAGCACGAACAAGCTTGTTCGAGAGTCGCGTCTCGGCCTGTTTACAGAATGACGCGAACAGAAAGCGAGAGCGGTTAAACAGAGTGACGTCGTATGTTGATCCGAGAGCCAGATTTACGAAGCGCAAGCAAGGCATTCGCGAACGCCTTATGTAGTGCGACAGACCTCTAGAGCTAGGTAAACTAAAGGCTGTATTAGTATATAGATGCAAAAATTGGACACTGTGGAAATAGGGATGTGACAATCTGCAAACGCAAGACAGTTAATTATATGTCAAATGTTCGTTTTTTTCAGGACCCCAGTAGCAGCATTTTGGACAAATGGGCCTTGGTTACCCGTGATGAAGAGCTCGTTGTTCTACGCCAGTTTCTTCGATTTGCAGAAACACGTTCACTCGCGCAACAGTTCATGGTAGCCGATAATGCTATCCAGGCAGCCACCGACCACGGTCAGGACCTCAAGAAGCTCCTCGAAAAGTCGGCTCAAGCGGCCAGCATCCTGAACTCACAAAGGGCCAATGATCTCATGCTGCAGCCAACAACGACGGCATCGTCGTTACCTCAAAGTAGCAGCAGCATGAAGGAAACTGCTACTGCCGCTACCAAACCAAAGGAATTATTATCCACTGTAACTTCGGCCAAGCATACGCAACCAATCTCGAAAGTGAGCGCAAACGATGACAATGCCCCCTCTGTGCCGCACAGTCGTAGTCCAAGCGCCTCCTCTGGTTTCGCGGATCGACAACAACAACAACAACAACAACAACAACAACAACATAGCTCACCGTTAAATAAACTCCAAAGTATGCAGCCGTATGATTATCGCACGCATAAACGACAAGGTCATGGAGCAAGCTGCGAAGCAATCGAGCGGCGTCCGTCACCGCCTCTGTCTTCACCACCTGTCTCGCTTGGGCTAAATTCACTTAACAGCCCGAACGGGACAAGCCAGTCAGGTCATCATATGTCAGCAACCGCCTTTGCTGCAAACCATCATACCAACAATAGCAGTAGCAGTCAACATCATAATCAAAACAGCTCGGATATGAGTCTCAGCGACTCAGATGATGACGGGTTGCCTGCTATGAATCTCTCCGCAAATATGACAAATCCCGAGGCGCTGTTAGCGGCGCAGGCACACCAGCTACAGCATGGTCGTAATAAAGAATCATCAAGCTCTCTCAAACGCCGCTGGGACCCGGTGGTATTGAGTACGCTGACCACAAACCCTTCAACCGGCAAACGTCGCGTTCAGTGCCACGTCTGCATGAAGACTTTCTGCGATAAGGGCGCGCTAAAAATTCATTTCAGTGCGGTGCACCTGCGCGAAATGCATAAATGTACTGTTGAAGGTTGCAATATGATGTTCAGTTCGCGCCGCTCCCGAAACCGTCACAGCGCTAACCCGAATCCCAAACTGCACGCTCCAAACTTGAGACGTAAAATCAGTCCGCATGACGGCCGCACAGCAAATCCATTTCCCGTGCTGCCCCCTAGCGCTTTGTTAGCCCTCAATGCAACTTCGCCTTCACATCTCGGCTCCGTCCTCCAAGAGGGTCTGCTTAATTCCAAACTGGCTGGGTTGGCCAATGAATATACACAAAGTTTGCTGGACTCAGAGCCTACAAGCCTGGGTGGGGCCGGAATGCCACTCTCGCTCATAAAAGGCTCTTCGGGTCAGCCCACCTCACCTTCACCAATACCAGAGTCAGAGGATAATAATTTCTCTTCACTTGAAGGCATCAATTTGTCGATGAAATCACCGCTTACCAGCAAGCATTTAGCTAATGAAAGAAAATCAGTGTTGGAAAAGACCTCTTCACCACCCAGAAGACAGCAGGACGTTTGCGGTTTTGCTGATTTACAGCCATTGTCCTTAACTACTAGTGATAAACCGATGCGCAAACGGAAAGCACTGAACCCAACTCGAGTAGCTGTCGAACAATCGGACGACGAGGTCCGATACGCCAGCTCCGACGACGACGAATCGACGAGTAATAATAGTGTGGATAATGCGTCACTTAAACGTCGGACTGATTTGGCTCGCAACCATCATGTGGACAGTGAAGATGAGGACCTGTCGAGCAGCGAAGCTTCAAAGGACGGCTTCCCTGACCTCTCCCCGCAGCCAACGAAACAGCTCAGAGCCGAGCGCGAGCTTCCAGGTAATGCACATAAACCTTGGAAGCTCGAAGTGGATGTGAGCACGCTGCGGGAGAAGGTGGCGGATGCTCAAGAGCAAGAGATGCTCAAGCAGAAAGACGCTCAAAGCCCTCAAACGGAAACAGAACAAGACCCTGAGCCGGACAACGAGCACCAAACAAGAATTAAGGAAACTGATCATGGTTTTGACCAGGATGATCCGGAACAGGAGCAGACAGAGCTTCGCGAAGACCCTTTGCGCCATCTGGAGTCTCTTTCAATGGGTGCCTTCACTGCGGGTTTTCTCCCTGCGGTCCGGTCCGGGGGTGTGTCCTTCCATGCCCCCGGCCTCGGGCTTGCCGACGGGCCCCTTAAAGATGAGGGTAGAGAATCGCCTGCCAGCTCGGCGGACCCGTCTCTAGTCGCAGCTATGTATAGAGACTCCTCCCTCGAGATCCCCGTCGACAAAGAAAACCCCAGACGTTGCACCGCGTGTGGGAAAGTCTTCCAGAATCATTTTGGCGTCAAGACACATTACCAGAATGTGCATCTTAAACTGATGCACAAATGTACCGTTGAGGGCTGCAATGCGGCATTTCCCTCACGAAGAAGCCGTGATCGCCATTCAGCCAACCTCAACCTGCATCGTAAGCTGCTATCCACATCATCACTGACGCCGGCGCCAGAAGGTCTTGCCGGAGGGGCGCCATTCGGACTCGACAAAATGTTCCCCTACGGCCAGCCAGAGTTCCTCTCGCGTCTCTATGACTCCACGCAGAATCTTGCCGAAATATATCAGCGGTTACCCAGTGCAGCCGAGGCAGGGCTATTATTTCCTTCCCCAGCGGCGTTCGGCGCCTTCCCTCACTTGCTGTCGCAGGTTCCGTGCGTTTTGAGCACAGACCGGGCCTCACCAGCAGTCAGTGGTGCAAGCGGAGGCTCGCTGCACTCACGCTCACCCTCACCGGCATCACCTGTCGCTGCTACGACCGGGGATGACGATACGCCACCTCTGAAGCCACCGGTCAGCGTCAAGAGCGCACCAGCCTCTCCGTCGGCAACTGCCGCGACGACTCCCCCTGCTTCGTCGCCAACCGCTGTTGCCCTGACGACTGCTTCAACGCCCCTTGAACATCCGGTTGCTCTTATCACCTGAGCTGATATCAGCAGTCAACGCTACTGCTGCTACGAACCTGAGCTACTGATGGGGTACTATTAGAGTGTTGTTGCTCCTCAACGTCACTACTTGTCAGTGGCCAGACCAACTAGTCTCCCTCGCCGATTCGAAATCAACGGTTAAGCAACCCCACCAGCCCAATACTGAAAAATATTGGCTGCTATTACAACGTATTACCAATTCACATTATTAAGTATTGTTCTTATTATACGATGTGTGATGGATTGTGGGGGCTGGCTCAGAAAATTGTAAGGTTCTTCGTAAGGACGCGATTACCTGGTAGCTCGTGTATTTCCAGGCAGCAATAGAATTATACAAACAGAAAGTCTGCGACTCAGTGACAGCAGAGGAGTATGAGAAAAAGTGAAATCGAAGAAAGTCTAGACTGAGATTTTCTGAGTGAAGGCTACTGTCAGCTGTGTTGCATATACGTGTCAAAACGATGCTGATGATGCTATAAGCAAAATAATGGTAGAAAGCAATGTCATACGGAGCAAGATAAAGAGCTCTGTTCAGACAATATTATTACACACCTAGAGTACTGTATATATCTGTAAATCTAAGTAATTTAATGTTATATTATATAGAATGTAGATGCCACATTATTATGTAGGGAATCAACATGAGCGCTAGAAACATTAAATAAAAAATGAAACAACTTATCAATAAATCAACAATATAAGTAACAAATACAGCAGCAAGCAACATGAACGAAGAAACAAGAATAAAAACCAAACGTGTGCTGTGCTCGTGCCAACCTTGTCTAACTCACCTGCATGTTCGACCATATGTAGTGCATAGAATATACATACATCGATTCATCGATTACTTGGCTGGGTTCCGAAGAGTTGGATGTGGGTCGGCCAATCAAAGATCGAACCAGTCATAGCCGTCAATTTACCCTAACGAAACCCGTAACCAACTCTCAGCACTAGACATCCAACTCCGCAAAGAATCAATAACCCTTTAAGGGTGTTTTCTACGACTGTGATTATCACCCCTGTTTGTTTAATTATTTACTGCTGTTAGTCCAGTCCTTCTGTCGTTCGCCTTGTTCCCTTTTAACATAACAGCAGGCTCATCTGTCTGTCTGTCTGTCTATGATGTCCTATGACGAGGTTCTATGTTTCAGAATGCGCAGCGTCGTCGGGGGAAGGAGGGAGAGATCCGAACTCTGATCTACAACACGAGTGAAATGTAGAAACGCAAACGCAAAATGTACACGTACACCGCGACGCATACACACAGACCAGATATAAACGCATAGAAAGTCAGAGAGATACATGAGTACGTGGCTGTTTAGATCAGGCGGAGCAGCACTGGGAAGAGGCCGAATATAAATGTGGAATGAAGATAAACATTGACAGCAAACAATCCGTAACCTTCGAGTACTTCTAGTACTACTAGTAGTGGTCGTCGTAGTAATAGTATTTGACCTTAGTTGTTTCTATGTTTAGAAGAACGAAGAAGAGACAGACAGGGAGACAGGAAGAGCTAACGAGAGAAAGATAAAGAAGCAACCGCTTCCAGAGGTTACGTCTCTGGGAGGGTCTTATTTACACCAGCATCAGACTCTCCGTGTTTTTGTTGCAAACACATAGATGCTGCTAGCCCTCCACGACAGCAGCATCGGCAGCGAAGTCCGTCTTCTCTGTAGCGTAGTCTTTCGGCACTGGCGGAGCGCATTGGGGATAGTTGGAAGCTCTCGCTTGATTTTACCTAGCTAGTGTTTTTGCCTTCCTCTCCTGCCTTCCATCATCCCAATCGTCGTTTGTGACTAACGTTTACGATTCTAGCTATCGCATATCATATATTGCCATATGTCCCAATCACAGAAACTTCATACGAGCCCTAAGATTTCGCGTTTACCGTTAGTCTTTGCATTTTCTGCTTATTCTGTTATCAATCAAATGTATATAATCGAAGGTATTCGCTTTTATGGGTACAGCAGTATTGGGTGAATAAAACACTCTAACAATATAACCTTTGGGCAGCTTCGTTGTACGGATTGATCTCTTCAGTGGCTATGCGGAAATGTCAGGAGTCTCGTTCTACAGAATTTTGGTGCCGGTTTCGAGTAACCTATATCAATGGTTATCTGTCTGGTGCGCTGTGATGGTCTTTCTGGAATAAGCCTTGTTAACATACTTGTACCATGATTTCACATAAGCAATGTCACCAAAGCGGGCTGTAATAAGCGAAAAGTGCTAGCTACAAGTTCATGTAAACAAATAGCCGTTTAGTTATTACGTTCAGAAATGGTTCATCTCTCAGTCGGATTTTAATTTCGCCCTTCGTCTGGCGTCCAGAAGCCGAACAACGGCCTTAGAGGCGTGCGACCCGGCTTTATACTAAATTTATGAATAGCGTCGCCGTCGCCGTCGCCGCCGCCGCCGCCGCCGCCGCTGCCGCCACTACTACCACTAGTGCTAGTTTTGCGATCAAAAACAATCATAACAGCAAAAAACATCGCCACTACGAATCGCCAGTGCCGTTTAGAGGAAGCGTCCAAAAGGTGTATTATGTAGTAGTGTCCTGACAGAAGGTCTGGATAGTCTGTAGCTTCGCTAAATGATTGACCAGACATCAAGTTATAATAGCGGCAACCACAACAACGATAACACGTCAAGATTGACAACCTCTGACTTTTGTTGACTGTAAAGGCTTTAAGTTATTTGCATCAAATGAAATAAACGATAATAATACTGAGAATGATCACAAATATTCAATAAACTATATAGTGTACTTATCTTCCTATAGATAGACAGTAGCTAGATCTCATGAGTGTAATATAGATTTACTTTATTCGCTTACGCATCTTTACGCCAAAAGTCCCCTAAGTAAGAGTCCCCTAAGAGCAAAAATAAAATGAAATATATATATGTTAAGGAATTAATAAAAAAAAAAAAAATTGTTACAATCAAAATTGGCATGTACACCTGTTCCGAAAATTCGTTCACACTGAATGCCAATGAAGTTGCCTTATACAGGCCATCCATATGTAACATTTTCCTTCCGCAGAACATTCTGTTTCATAATGTAGCCTATTCCTAAACGAGTCCTTGACTACATATTACACTTCGTGAGACATTCGTTTAAAGCTCTGCGCTATGTCGCACTAACACTTATCAAAGGTTACGTTTTATACAAGTTTATGGTGCTTCTTTTTTGTTAGCTATTTGCGTTCTATGTAGAGCGAAGCATCCAAATCCAACATTTTCTCATGAGTGTTGTGTTTAGGACTGTATAGAGATAAGAAGCTATGAGTGTGATTTTTGACGGTTAGATTTATCCAGTCTCAAGACAGCAGTTAATTTCGAAAAAAAATCCAAATGTATCAAAAATTGCGTTTTGAGTCATTTTTTTATGAATTTCTCAACTTTTTAAATCCAAACACCGATAAGGATCTTTTGGTTTGCCTCGTTGTACGAAATCTAGCAATAAAATAAGCCGTCATTTTCGGGTAAAAGAAGCTTTTCAATTTTCATAGGGGTCCGTCCTTGATAAAAACATTGCGTAAAACTAGATCTTCGCTTGGATTTTGCAAATGACGTAGTTTCGATGCAATGAGTTTGTCACTTTATTCTAAAGGGAAGTGGCTTTTTTTTGGCTGGTCTATAAATAAATAGGTGACGCATGCATTTTTACGTTGTTCGAATTGAAACGTATACAATACTATCTCATATGGAAAAAATTGTGAAAGATGTTTTGTACTCGATTCCATGTACAATGGGTGCACGCGCGCGTTTTGCGTTCCCATTTCGCACGTGCTCAATTTTCCATATGTGTCTTTGATGAAGTATAAGCATGAGGTAAAAACCAGACTGCAGTCGGAAAAGTCCAAGTTAATATTTCGCAATGTGTGCTTCTTCGTAGTAGTTAGTTCATAGTGTTCAGTGCTCCGCACAGCCACATTTGGGAAAACATTATTTTCCTTCTATTGCCGTAGTTATTGATCAATTATGTTGCGCGGCAAAATTGTACCGACTAGGCTTTCGTGTGACGTTTCAATGGCCTTTTTTCTAAGTTTCTAAAATTTCAGCCAAACTCACCGAGTCGGTAGAACGCCGCAGATGTCTAGCGAAACAGTGTGCAGAAACTGCCCTTAAAAGATTAAAGAAAGCCTTACACCAAAAGCCTTAATGATCCTGTTGCAAGGAAAATGGATGTCCAATACACTGCTAATGAAATAATGTTAGTCATATTATAGGAGATTTCCATAATATGACTAACATTATTTGAAAGACTACTTCGAAAACGCTGTTCCAAAAAGTCACCGCAGCCCATCCAAAGGGGCCTCAAATAATGTAACGTGACATTGCAGCCTAATGGTTAACCTATCTCCACAGAAAATGACGAGATCTTGTATTCCCAAGATGCACTTGCCTGACCTTGAAATCAATACGCTTAAAAATATAATCACTTATTCGTTTTTGTCATGTCATACGAAATTTTGTCAGGAGTTTTGGAAAGCAGGAAACTCTACCGCGATGCCAAGATTCGTGGCCTTTTTGCCACGGCCTTCGACGAAGAAAACTAATATCATTCTTGTATAATCGTAGTTACATTCGCGAGATCTACAGCCGCTCTTTTGACACCTTAGGTCGACTACATTTTGCGCCACAGTGTTATACTAAGAATGGCCTAGAGCTCATGATCAGTAAGAAATAATCGACGGTGGCATTAAAAACCGCTATATTTAGTTGCCGGTTCTAATTCCACTGGTTTTTAAGCAATGCGCTTTCAACAATGGCGTATCGCACACACTCATTTGACCAGCATAAATCCTACCATACTTAACAGTATTGTTTGATGTAGCTGCGTCTCAAGGTTTGCGCCCTTACTTCGATCACAAGTGATATGATGCCGTAAATCAAGTGTTCTTGGAAGCGACGTAATTTTTTGCAAAAAAAGTGTACTGGATTTAAGATAATTGATATCACTATTCTAAATTATGCCTTTAGAGTGTCAATGTCTATTCTTTTCTTTTCTACGCACGAAAAAGGCTACCTATCAATAATTACAATGAATGAGCAATCAGTGATCAGTGATCAGAATTAAGCCCGATTGAGGCTTGCTTGCTTTAGAGAATCTAACGAAGCAACCATCGATTAGATCGTCTAAAAGATCCCGTGTAAACAAGGCTCCGATCTTCTGAGATGCGTCACATTACGTTGGCAGCAGGTGGACTCTTTCCTACCTTGTTCCTCGTCCCCACTGGCCTCTCTAGCCCTAAGCATCTTTCAGCATCGATGCTTTTCATGAGTATACGTGAGTCTTTTTTATTGTGGTCGTCGTCGTCGTCGTCATTGTTATTGTTGTTTTGTCGATCTTGTTAAAATGTGCCCTACTCCGTATCCTACTCGATACCATACAAGAGATCGCTGCCGTGCGTTTCTTCTCTGCGTGCCCCCTCTCGTAAATGCATCGACCGACGAGCACTTTCACTAGTAACGCGTGCTCCTGCAAGACGAGGACTGAGGCCGCAGCAACAGCAGGTAAGGAGTTATTTCCCGGCTGGCCACGGGCCATCGTAATGGCCGATGGCAGTCTTGTTGATGGCGGCGACGACGGCGGCGGCCATGGTGGTCGAACCGAAAGGGGTGCGGCCGCATCTAAAGGCATTGATAAGAGGACGAAGAGGTGGTCCTGTTCACCTGTCTGCGCAGATATGTTGTAACACCTAGGTGCGACTGCTCCTGAGTCCGGTGCTTGGTGCTATCAACAGGGCTAGATGGGTGTCGGTCAGTCTGTCCGCGAATGTTCCGCTAATGAGGGGACACACGCCAGCCATGAAAACAGGCCTAAGCACAAGGAATGCGACGTTTTGCATGGATAAAAGAAGGCGATCGTTGTGAGCAACCAATACCCCTCGTGCTCTCCCAAGGGGGCCGTGTGGATATGCATCATCATACGATGCACTGTGCTACGAGGTTTTCAGATTTAGAAAAAGTCGCTCCTCTTGTTCCGTGTTCAGCAAGGGCGCATATCACTTGTGGTTGGACTGCGCATGCCGCTAGCCAGGAGGTTAGCGTTGTACAAGCGCACTGCTTAAATCCACCTCAGTTATTAGAAAAACTGGTCTCTATTTGATCTGATAACAAAGCGTCTCACAGTAGGCTTTTCCGCCACTTTTTGTCTATGCGCTTTGTTAATCAAAGTTTTTTTATTGTCAAGCCTGGCCTCCAAATGCGGCTCAATTCGAGAATGTAGGGGTAAAAATTAACGCAAACTGTGAGTGATACATAGGTAGAATAAAGTTCTAATAAGACTAACACAAGATCCTGTAGTTGATAGTGCTGTAATCATATAGGCCAGATTTCAGCTCAATTAGGACGCGCTTCTAATAGGTTCTGCACAATAAAAGGCGTATAACAAATGACGTTGTAACTTCATAGGGGCTTACATTTAGGTTAGCCTAAGCAGAAGATTTAAAGTCTTACCACTTATGCGCTGTAGGTTTAATTTGAGAAGCATGAGATTTCTCTTCGCCAGTTTTACGGGGAAACTGCTTAAAGGACTCATGTTAACAAAATCGAATAAAACCACAGGCTTCCTTATTTAAAGGTTTCTATCCATGACTGAATTCAGCCTCGGGTGAGATCGACAGAATGATTAGGTATCCCTTGATATTTGATCGCAGTTATCTGTCGAATATTTCTGCCTCCCGGCGTTCCATTGCACTGAATGCAGACAATATAACTATCGATTAGTTGTTATCAATCTATCCATACTATTAAGAGTGTAGGTCCGCAGGCTTGTCCAACCAAAAACGACCCCTTAGAAGGTATGGATTAAGTGGCATGATTTTTGCGGGGAAAATGGCGCTGACTGTCGAATATTTTTGCTCTTAGGAAACAAAGTTTGATTTTTCCCATAAAGCGTAGTGTTAATTTCGTTTGTTGTCAGCCGCAGCCAACAACTTTTTCTTAATTTTTTACGTTTGAAAATTAGGAAACATCAAGGCGGTCACCAGCATTGCCCACGCTAACATTTCATCGAACGACGTTCCAAGGTCTATTCGTGCAAAAATTGTGTTGGCGGACCAGCTCTGCTCGACGAGCTGCGTACGAAGGATTGTGTTTAGACCATATTTTGGAAGCGCCGATTAGGTTTTGTAGCCACCAACACTAGCCTAGTAACTGGCTGTTATCCTTTGTAACCTCTGTTAAAAATATAACTTGCTTGTTGTCTCTATTTAAGTGAAATATATTTCATGGCAAACCAGGCACGAGACGAATCTATTCTAGTCCGACCTAGACTTGTGCAGCCGCCCGATTTTCTCTGGGTCCTTAGAGGGGAGACCTGCGTAAATAAAGTTTTCTTTCCCCATAGGGCGTAATGTTAAATTAGGTAAACTATTATAACACTTCCTGACTACTTACTTGACGGTCGTTGAGAATCTTCGCTCAAACTATGCCAGTTAAGTGGAAAAAGATTGATTTGTAGCGTAATGATGTTTGCCGAACTAATTCATAATCAATGACGTATAAACTAGTTCACGAACAGCAGTTCTGTAAAATGGGTAACGTGATGAAACCTTAGTCAAGTGTACAGCCAGAGGTTAATTTCTGGGGTTCAAAAGAGCTCAGTTATTTCTTTAGGGAGTGCGATGTATTAACGGATTAATAAGTACATTCGGATGACAAGGTGGAATAATGTTGGAATAAGGTAATAGAATAACTACATCGAACTAAAAGGGTCAGTAAGAGCCTGACCGGAGAGTTGGAACGGGAATGTTTCAGAAGGAATGTTACCAGACGCTTGTAAAAGAATAGCTTTAGAATAGACCAACAGCTTATATTAGGGTTTAGGTGCAACACCGTTCAAGTATCAGAAAAGGCAGGTGAGATAGCTACAGACTGGCAGTAGAACTGTTAGAACACACCAACGAAAGGAAGAAATACGTCCAGCAACGGGATAAACATTGCCAGTAAATTGACTGGGTCGAGAAAATGAGGTAATGAAATGGTTGCAGCGAGATAGCGAAATTAGTGTTGCAGAATTCAGTAAATGAACTACAGCTGATGTTTGACTAAGTATAGCGCGAATGCAACCTTTCTTTCGTTGGCGCTATCTGACCAACAATGGGGGGCATCGATTCTTCAATTTCCTTTTTTCGTGCTTAAAGTTTGATTGAATCATCCGGATCCGACATTCCGGATTCAGGGATTGAACGTCCGGAGGGACTGATGTGCATTACATTTCGGTGTGGGTTACAAGCAAATGTTTCCTGACAAAGTGGCAATCAGATATGCACGTGACGTCTACGTAAACGCAGGATTTTTTTTTTGCTACCAGTCGAGAAATTTCAACGAGCTAACTAGATAAAGTGTTACGCCTAAAACGGTTGTTTGGTATGCCAATGATA